CGCGGCGGACGATCTCCTCCAGCACGCGGCTCATCAGCTCCTTGTCTTCCTCGAGGCCGAGCTTGGTGGCCGTCGCGAGGATGTTCGACCGGCCCGAGAGCTCGCTCACCAGCACGCGGCGTTCGTTGCCGACCGACTCGGGCGGGATGTGCTCGTAGCTGTGCGCGACGCGGTTCACGGCGTGCACGTGCATGCCGCCCTTGTGGGCGAACGCGCTGGGGCCGACGAACGGCTGGTTGTTCCGCCGCAAGAGGTTGCCGACCTCATAGACGTAGCCCGACAGCTCGCTGAGCCGGGCGATCTGTTTCTCGTCGAGCACCTCGTAGCCCTGCTTCTTGAGCGTCAGGTTCGCCGCAACGGAGATCAGGTCGGCGTTGCCGCACCGCTCGCCGAGGCCGTTGATCGTGCCCTGCACGTGGACGGCGCCCGCCTCGACCGAAGCGAGCGAATTGGCGATCGCCAGCTCCGAGTCGTTGTGCGTGTGGATGCCAAGCGGCACGGGGACCGCCTCGGCCGCTTCCTTGGTGATGCGGGCGACCTCCTCCGGCAGCGAGCCGCCGTTGGTGTCGCACATCGCGACGAGTTTCGCGCCGGCCTGGGCGGCGGCCTGGATCGTCTTGGCGGCGTACGCCGGGTCGAGCTTCCAGCCGTCGAAGAAGTGCTCGGCGTCGTAGATCACCTCGCGGTCGAGCGAGATGAAATGCTCGATCGTCTCGGCGATCATGTCGAGGTTCTCCTGCTCGCTGACGCGGAGCACCTCGGCGACGTGGAACGTGCTGGTCTTGCCGACGATCGTGATAACCGGCGCCTGGCTGTCGGCCAGCGCCTTCATGCCGGGGTCGTCCGCCGCTTTGACGCCACGGCGCCGCGTCATGCCGAACGCGCACAGCTTGCTGTTGCGGAGCGGGTCGTCGACGAAGCGTTGGAAGAACTCGGCGTCCTTGGGGTTCGAGAGCGGGTACCCGCCTTCGACGTAGTCGAAGCCCATCGCGTCGAGGCGACGCGCGATGAGGACCTTGTCCTCGAGCGAGAAGTTGACCCCCTCGCCCTGGGCGCCGTCGCGGAGCGTCGTGTCGTAAAGTTCGATTTTCATGGCAGTTGGCTGTTGGCTATCGGCTGTTGGCTTGCTGCTGGCCGCCGACAGCCAATAGCCGACAGCGAATAGCCAAAGAAAAAACCCCGAAGCCGGCGAGCCGGCTTCGGGGCGGTGATTCTAACCTCAGCAGGGCTTTCGGCTCAGCCCGCCGAGTAGGTGATAATCACGCCGCCGTGTTTGAGGAACGTGACCGTGGCGACGAAGCCGCAGTCCCAGACGACGTCGACCTTGCCCCGGCCGGGGAGGATGCCCGGGCGAGCGTTGCAGACCCGCGGCGGGCCAACGCAGCAGCACGGCACGCAGAACGGCACTTCGTACAGCTTCGGGCAGCAGTCGACCGGGTTGTCGACGCAGGCCGAGACGTTGATCGGCGGGCACCCTCGCCGCATCATCCGGCGAGCGGAGAGCGTCGTGCGGACGTCGACGACCTCGATCGGGCAGCACGCCGGGGCCGCCGCGACGACGACCGGTTCGACCACTGCCGGGGCGGGAGCGACAGGCGCCGGCGCGGGGGTCGCCTCGGGCGTGACCAGCGGGGCCTCGACCTCCAGGGCCGGGTCAGCCAGCTCGGGCTCTTGTGAGACAGCCCCAAACGGGGTCAGGGCGAAGCAAACGGCCGCGGCGGCGGCCAACAGCGTCGGGCGGTGCATCTCGTGAGGGTCTCCGGTGCGTGGGGGCTCTCGGTAGAGCTTCCCTAAGCATAGCTGACCCGGGACGCCGTGTGAGGGTTCACGTTGGCGCGATTTTGACGGTGGCGCTCAGCCTCAGGCCGGTCGTCACGCCGCCTCGTCCTCCTCGTCGGCTTCTTCTTCATCCCACTCCTCGTCCTCTTCGGCCTCCTCCTCGTCCGACTCCTCGGCCTCGGTCTCGTCTTCCTCTTCGTACTCCCACTCCTCGTCGTCTTCGGCTTCCTCGTCCTCGGCTTCGTCGGCCGGCTCCTCGTCGGACTCTTCGTCTTCCGCCTCGTCCTCCTCGTACTCCCACTCCTCGTCGGCGTCGTCTTCGGCGACCTCCTCATCCTCTTCCGACTCGTCTTCCTCCGCCTCGTCGTCGAGGTCCTCTTCCAGGGTGTCGTCCTCTTCGCCGGCTTCGTCTTCCTCTTCCCACGGCGCCGTTTCTTCGACTGTAGATGTCTCGACGGTCCGGTCGAAGAGCGCCGCCTGCGTCTTGACGACCGGCGGGCCGTCGCCGTCCGCCTCGTTCTGCATGGCGTCCCACTCTTCGGCGGTGATGAGCACCTCGCGCGCCTGCGAGCCGTTGTACTCGCCGACGATGCCGTCCTCGGCCATGAAGTCGATGAGCCGTGCGGCGCGTCCGTAGCCGATGCCGAGGCACCGCTGCAGCAGCGAAACGCTGCCGCGCCCCTCACGCACCACGACGTCGACCGCCGCCTCGTACATGTCGTCGCGGTTCTTCAGCGCCGGCGGCTGGCCCGCTTCGGCCGCTTCCTGCTCTTCCTTCGTCTTGAGCTGCAACAGCTCCGCGGCGAACTGCTGCTCGTCCGTGCCGACGTAGTCGACGACCGCCGTGATCTCGTCGTCGGAGAGGAAAGTCCCCTGGCCACGCAGCAGCATGCTCGTGCCGGGCGAGAGGAATAGCATGTCGCCGTTGCCCAGCAGCTTGTCGGCGCCCATCTCGTCAAGCACGACACGACTGTCGGTGCGGCTGGCGACCTGGAACGCGATCCGCGCCGGCAGGTTCGACTTGATCAGGCCGGTGATCACGTCGACGGTCGGCTTCTGCGTCGCGAGGATCAGGTGGATGCCAACCGCGCGGCTCTTCTGCGCCAGGCGGATGATGTGCTGCTCGACGTCCTTGCCGGCGGTCATCATCAGGTCCGCCATCTCGTCGGCGACGATCACGACGAACGGCAGTTGCTTCGGCACGAGCGACCACTCGGCGTCGTCCATCGGCCGACCGTCGGCCGACTCGAGGCGTTCGCGCAGCTCTTCTTCGGTGAGCTGGTTGTAGCTGCTCACGTGCCGCACGCCTGCGCGAGCGAGCAGCGTGTAACGCTCTTCCATCTTATCGACGGCCCAGGCGAGGATCGCCTCGGCCTTTTTCATGTCGGTCACCACCGGGTGCATCAGGTGCGGCAGCTTCCGGTAGCCCGACAGCTCGACCATCTTCGGGTCGATCATCAGCATGCGGACCTCGTCCGGCCCGCGGCTCATCAGGATCGACGCGATGATCGAGTTCAGGCAGACCGACTTGCCGGTGCCCGTCCGACCCGCGATCAACAGGTGCGGCAGCGCCGCCAGGTCGACCACCATCGGGTTGCCGGCGACGTCCTTGCCCAGGTAGATGGGGATCTTCATCCGCCGGGCCTGGCCGTTCGTCTCCTCGATCACCTCGCGCAGGCGGACGATCTGCCGCGTGTCGTTCGGTGCCTCGATGCCGACGGTGTTCTTGCCGGGGATCGGCGCGACGATCCGCACGCTCGGCGCGCGGAGTGCAATGGCGAGGTCGTCTGCCAGACCGGTGATCTTCGATAGGCGCAGGCCCGGCTCGAGCTCCACCTCGTACTGCGAGATGACGGGGCCGGTCTCGACCTCCACCACCTTCACGTTGAGGTTGAAGCTCTCAAAGGTCTTCTCGAGCACGCGCGCCTTCCGGCGGACCTCCTTCTCGTGCTGGTCGTACGAGATCTCCTCGGCCGCGAGGAGCAGGTCGATCGGCGGCAGCTCGTAGTCGCTGTCGAATTCGGTCTCGTGGTCGGCCGCTTCGAGCGACTCGATGATCTGCTCGCGTTCGCTCTTTGGCTTCGGCTTCTTGACCGCGACCCCTTCGGCGGAGGTGGGCGCTGGCGCCTCTGCGTCACCAGCATCGGTGTCGCTCTCCTCGGCCGTCACCGCCGCGTCGGCCGACGCGGTGTCGGGTGTCTTCACTCGCAGGGCCGAGGCGAGACGCTTGCCGAGGCCGCCGACCGCCGCGGCCGTCGCCGCGATCGCGCCCGGCGACGCCGCCTCGTCGGTCTCGGCCTCTTCGGCTTCTTCCTCGTCCTCGTATTCGTACTCGTCGTCTTCGTCGGCCTCGGCTTCTTCCCACTCCTCTTCGTCGGACTCGTCGTACTCCTCGTCTTCCGCTTCGGCGTCCGCTTCGTCTTCGTACTCGTCGTCGACCTCAACCGTGTCGAGGTCGGTGCGGCGGCCGACGAAGCGCTGCGACGCGGCCTGGCTCAACCGCCCCGCCGCGACGAGCGTCGCCCCCGAAGCCGAAGCGGTCGCCGCAGCGAACTGGAACATGAAGTAGTCGGTCGCAAGCAGCAGCCCGGCAAACAGCGCGGCCCCGGCGATCAGCAGCGAGCCGGTCGACGCGAAGTTGCTTTCGAGCCAGACCCGCCCCATCGCCCCGACGTAGCCGCCGGCGCCAATCAAGGGGCCGGGTGACCAGCTAGGCAACATCAACGCCCCGAGCGTTGACAGCCCGACGAGCGACAACGCCCAGCCGGTCGAACGGACCACCGGCTGGTCGATCCGCCGCTGGGCGAGCAGGATGCCGACAACCGCGGCCAGCGAACCGGTCGCGTAGTACGCGCCGACGCCGAGCATCTCCAGCAGCGTGTGGGCCGCGTGGGCCCCGGCGACGCCGCACGCGTTGCGGACCGGCCCCGTCGCGCCCCACCCACCGGGCGGGTCGGCCGGGTCGTAGGTCGCGAGGGAGATCGCCAGCAGCAGCGCCACGGCGCCGAGCGCGAGCGCGACCACGTCGAACTTGGGGCTGCGAGGCATGGAGGCCCGAGGCTGGAGGCGGGGAGCCCGAGGGACGAAGCGGGGCGTGCGACGCGCGCAGACTCCCCGCCATCGAAGGGCATCGGCGCCCCCTAGGTCGCGGCACGAGGCGCGTCGCCGGCGCCGCTAGCATTCGCCCGAAACGGCCCCGCGGGACAACCGGCGTCACCCGCATGACGCTCCCAACCCGCTAGCGGCGGGTAACCGTGCTGCGGCCGCTGGCGACGCCTGCTACAAGGCGCGGCCCGACCCTGCCCCCTCTTCCTCAGGTCGCGCCCTTGCCCCGATTCGGTTGCCGCCGATTCGCGCTGCCGTTCGCGCTCTACGCGGTGGTAATCGCTGCGCGGGCCAACGAGCCACAAAGGGCATCGCCCTTTGTGCCGTTCGTTCGTACCGCGTACCTCGCAGTCGATCGCGAGGAAGGCAGTGACGGCCTAGCGGCCATCGTCCCCAACACCACAACGACAAACAGCACACGAGTCGCCACTCAGACGCAGCCGGGTTCGTTCTTTAGTATCGGCAACTACGGAGGCGCCGAGGATGACATCGGAACCATCGACGTTAGCAGCGATGGTGGCTTCAACCGCGCCAACGTTGACGACTCGATCGCGGCGCTCGGCGTCTACGACCTCGCGGCGAGCGACCCTCCGACTCCCGACCCGGACGAGACGGTCCTCGACCAGCAGATCGCCATCATCCTGAACGACCTCAACAACGCCTTAACGGTAATCAACGCCCTGGACGACGAGGACCAACTGGGCTTCATCGGCGTGAGCGGCAGCTTCACCGCGGCCAGCGTCGCCCTGCAAGACCTGGTCATCGCCCAAGAGACTCTGCCCAACAACCCGCCCCTGGGCGAAGCGTCACCCAACCAGTTGGACGCGGAGATCGCGGCCTTGAACGCCGCGCTCATCTTCCTCAACCTCGACTTGGCCGGGATTGTCTTGGAGGTCGACGACGCCGGAGGCGGCGACGGCGCCGCTGCAGATGGCGGCGACACCCGCCTCGCCGACGACATCAACCAGAACGGCAGCGGCGGCGCCATCCGTGTCCTCGCCGACATCGACGGCGACGGCGTCACCGAACCGGATGAGGTCGTCGCCGTCATCAACGACTTCGGCGATGTGCACGAGTTCAACGTCTTCTTCGACCAGGTCGCGGTCCACGAACGTTTCACAGCCAACAGCATCGAGCTGATGAAGCAGACCGTCCTGGGAGGCGGCCCCGCATCGGCCTCGGATGGCTGGCGTGTCGATGGCTTCGTTGACGACTGGTCATTCGGCGTGGGCGACGAGGTGCGGGGGCTTTCGCCGCTCCCGCCGTCGTTCATCAGCCGCGTCGGCGCCGAGGGCGTCCGTCGCTGGATGCAGGGGCTGAGCGTCTCGACCTACGGCTCCGCGGGCGTGCGGGCGATGCACCTCGAAGACCGCTTCTCGTTCCTGGGGCTCGATTCGATCCTCGGTCGGACCAGCGTCAACCAAGAGAACGACCACTACGTGCTCGGCCCGCAACTAGGCCTCGGCTGGGTCGCCGAGGGACCGACGCTCCGCTTCGAGGCGGCGCTGCTGGGGCTCGCTGGCTACGGCCGCGTCGAACGGCGGCAAGCCGGCGTCTTCGGAGAAGAAGTCATCCCCGGGGCGTTGAACCGTGCGGCAACCGCGAGCAGCACGAGCAGCCGCCGCGCCGACGGCGACGACCGAGTCGCCTGGCACGGCGAGTCCCGCCTCACCGCCAGTTGCCAACTGACCCAGCGCCTCCGCTTCGACGCCACGTGGCGATGGATGGTCACCGGGCCGATCTCCTCGGCCTACGAGTCGGTCGGCTGGAACGCCCCCGACTTCGGTCTGTCGCGCACGAACGACGATGCGCGGACGCGGAGCGATTGGTTCTTTGGTCTAACTTACACGCGGTGAGCAACGCTTGACGCTCGACAACCACTCGCCGGTGCAGCATTCGCTTGTCGCCCTCGCGATGGCTGCAATCGCGGCTGCGTACACGGTCGCTGAAGAGCCGGCGCCGAATCCGTTATTCTCGTCGTTCATTCAAGCCCAATTGAACACCGAGTCGACGAGCCATCGCTTGGATGCTGGCGATTTCAACATCTTCTTCGACGACACCGTCTGGGAAGAGTCGTTGACGCCTTATGAAGTCGCGATCAGCAAACAGCACGTGTTCGGCGGCGGTGAAGCCAATCGCTTCGCACGCGGCTGGAGGGTTGATTCGGCGATCGACGCCTGGCGGCTTCGGTTCGGCGACGAGGTGCGTGGACTGCGTCCTGTCAACGCCGGCGGATTCAGACCGGGAACGCCGCAAGCGGTCGTTGCCTGGTTCGACGAGATGCGCGTCTCGACCTACGGGATCTCTGGCATCGAGTACCAGCGTGCCGACAGCGAGTTCTACTTCCAGGGTGTCGGGTCGGTCCTTGGTCGGACCATGGTCAACACGCGAATCGATCACGACCTTGTCGGCCCGAGGCTGGGCCTCGGCGCCGTCGCCGAGTCGTCGATCTGGCGGTTTGAGGCGGTGGCTCTCGGTTCGGTTGGCTATGGCTGGTGGGAGCGGCGCCAGAACGGGGTCTTTGGTGAAGAGTTGATTCCCGGCGCGTTAAACCGGCCGGTCGTCGCACGCACGTCGGTGTCCGCCAACGGAGACGACGGCGACGGCGTCGCCTGGAGCGGCGAAATACGCCTCACGGCAGGTTGCCAACTAACGCAGCGGTGGCGCTTCGACGCCACCTGGCGTTACGGCTTCATCGGCCCCGTCCAAGATGCCTACCGCGCCACCGCCTGGAACGCGCCCGAGTTTGGGTTGAATCCGGAAGACGGCCGCACACTCGATGGCGACGCGTGGTTCCTCGGCTTCACCTACACCCACTGAGCGTCACACGAACACCCGTGTCGGTTGCAGCTTGTCGCGGCCGCGGGGCTTGAGCAGGGCGATCAGTTCCTCCCCCGGACCGAAGGCCGCGACCTCGTCGCCCGCGGGGCACTTCCGCCGCGGCAGGAAGCGGCCGTTGCGGAGCTCTTCGACCTCTTTGATCGACACGCGATGACGCGGCAGATCGGCCACGGCCAAACCCGCCGGCTGGATCGTTTCGACGAGTGAGTCCTCGTCGAGCTGCTTGGGATCGACGCCGTCTTCGACACGGAACAGGCCGATCTCGGTCCGTTCGAGTTCCGACATCACGGCCGCGGTGCCGAGCGACTCGGCTAGGTCGCGCCCGAGCGAGCGGATGTACGTGCCGCTGCCGCAACGGATGTCGAGCACCAGCTCGGGGTACTCGTAGCGGACGACCTCCAGCGAGTGGATCGTCACGGGCCGCGGCTTCATCTCGGGCGCGTCGCCGGCACGGGCCAGGTCGTACGCCTTCTTGCCGTCGATCTTGATCGCCGAGTAGGCGGGCGGCACTTGCTCGACGTCGCCCACGAACGAAGGCAAGGCCGCTTCGATCGCTTCGACCGACGGGACCGGGGCGTCTGGTAACGGCTCGGCTTCTAGTTCGATGTCGTCGCTCGGGCTGCGGCGACCGAGCACGAACGTGCCGCGGTATCGCTTCGGCTGCCGCTGGACGTGCTCGATGAGCTTCGTCGCCTGGCCGACGCAGAGCACGAGCACGCCGGTGGCGATCGGGTCGAGCGTCCCCGCGTGGCCGACCTTGGCCGCCTTCACGCCGTCGCGCTTGGCGATCTGCTTGAGCAGCCACTGCACGCGGTTGACCGCGTCGCGCGACGTGACGCCAGCGGGCTTGTTGACGTTCAGGAGGCCGAACAAGTCGCTCACTCCAGCACGGTAGCCAGGGCGAAGCCGTCGTGGCCCTTGGCGCCGACGGTTTGCACGACGGTCGCGGCGACGCGTGACTCGGTCGTGAGCAGCTCGACCAGTTGCTGGCAGCCTTGCACCGCCGGGTCGGTCGACTCGGAGTCGGCCAGCTTGCCTCGGCGGACGACGTTGTCGACGACGATCAGGCTTCCCGGACGCGTGAGGCGCAGCGACCAGGCGAAGTAGTCGGGGATCGACGGTTTGTCGGCGTCGATGAAGACCAAGTCGAACGGCCCGGCGCCTTCTTGCTCGAGCTGGGGAAGCGTCTCGATCGCCCGGCCCACCCGGACGTCGACGCGGTCCGCGACGCCGGCGTTGGCGAGGTTCGCCCGAGCGACTTCGGCGTGACGCGGGTCGGCTTCGAGCGTCGTGACACGCCCGTCCTCGGCGAGCGCTCGGGCGAGCCAGATCGTGCTGTAGCCGCCGAGGGTGCCGATCTCGAGCACGCGTTTCGCCGCGACCGAGCGGGCCAGCACCTGCAGCAGCTTGCCCTGGTTCGGCGAGACGGCGATCTCCGGCAACCCGGCTTCCTGGCTGGCGGCCAAGGCGGCGTCGAGCGCGGCGTCGTGTTGCGCGAGGCGCGGGCCGAGATAGTCATCGACCGCGCTATAGACTTCGGTGGACATCGACGCCTGGACTCCCGAGAAACGAAGCGAGCGGCGGCTCGGCGTGTGTACGAACGAGCCGGCGTGCAGGATAATCGTCGCGGCGCGGGGAAGCACCCCAGCGCGTTCGCTGTCTCGTAACCCCCGCGTGTCTCGTTGAGCGAATCCCCCGAAGCCGCCCGCACCCTCGCCGAGGCGATCCAGCTCCACGACTTGGAGATCGACGAGCCTTCTCTCGAGAAGCTCGACGCGTATCGCGAGTCGCTCTGGAGCTGGAACGAAAAGCTCAACCTGACGCGGCACACAACGCTCGAAAAGTTCGTCGCCCGCGACCTGTTCGACACGCTGCAGCTCTCGGCCCTGATCGACGAGGGCGAGCGGGTGCTCGACATCGGCTCGGGCGGCGGCGTGCCGGGGCTGCCGCTGTCGGTCCTACGGCCCGACCTCGACGTCAGCGTCTGCGAATCGGTCGCGAAGAAAGCGAACGTCCTGGCGTCGATGGTCGAGACGCTAAGTCTGCCCGTCACGGTCTACGGGGAACGCGTCGAGCACCTGTTCGAGCCCGAAGCGGGCGTCGCGCCGTTCGAGACGTTGATCGCACGAGCGGTGGCGCCGCTCTGGAAGTTTATGCGTTGGCTCCGACCGCAACCCGACCAATGGGGACGGCTGCTGCTGATCAAGGGACCGAGCTGGGTAGAGGAACGGGGCGAAGCTCGGCACCGTGGCCTGATGAAGGGCTACCAACTGCGCCGAGTTGCCGAGTACACGACTCCCGGCAGCGACGCGGTCAGCACCGTGCTCAGCGTCTCGCGCTAGAGTCGCTAGCTTGCGCAAAACGCAGCATCGCAGCACTGACAGGCTGTTGTCGCTGGTCAGCAGCGGTTGCTGGTCAACCGGGGGCGACACCGGTAAGCTGACAGTCTCTTGAAAACACCGTAGGCCAGGGCTGGCCGCATCCAACTGCTTTCCGACCGGAACGACCAGGGAGACCCGCGATGGCCGACGCGCCGAAACTGACCGACCCGCCCGCCGAGAAGCCGGCCGCCGAAGCGCCGAAGGGCGATGCCGCCCAGCGGCAGCGTGTGGAGGTGAACGACTCCGACGCCGTTTGCACCTACGCCAACTTCTGCCGCGTCACGGGCACGCCTGAAGAGCTGATCCTCGACTTCGGCCTGAACTCGCAGCCGTACGGCATGCCGACCGAGCCGGTCGAGGTCAAGCAGCGAATCGTCACGAATTACTACACCGCCAAGCGGATGCTGCAGGCGCTGCACCTCTCCGTGCAGCGGCACGAGCAGGCGTTCGGCGTGCTGGAGACCGACGTGCAGAAGCGCGTCGTCGCCAAGCCGCAGCAGGCCTGATCGGCGACGGCCGAAGACCGTGTGGCGCGATCGTGCCGGTCGCGCCGGCAGAGCCACACGCGGTGAGTGACCTACGTTTGAGCGGCCCGGGGCGCGTTGCCCCGGGCCGCTCTGCTATTGGTCGCTCCCGAGTCGCGAAGCCGTGCGGACCGTCTACCTCGACTACAACGCCACCACGCCCCTCGCGCCCGCTGCGCAGGAGGCGATGCTGCCGTACCTTTCGGACCGATTCGCCGATCCGGCGGGCGAGCACGCGTCCGCCCGGGCGGTCGACGAGGCGATCGAAGACGCGCGCAGCCGGGTCGCCGCGGCGCTCGGCTGCCAGGCTAGCGAGGTCGTCTGGACGTCCGGCGCCACCGAGAGCTGCGGCGTCGCTGTGCGTGGCTTGATCGAACCGGCCCTCCGTTCCGGCGAGAAACCCCACCTGATCGTCACCGCGGTCGAACACGCGGCCGTGCTCGGCCCCGCACGGTTCCTGGCCCGCTGCGGGGCGGAGTTGACCGTCGTGCCGGTCGATGGCCAGGGGCTTGTCGATCCAGACGACGTGCTGGCGGCGCTAAAGCCCACGACGAGACTCGTCAGCGTTGTCCACGCCAACGACGAGATCGGCGCCGTTCAGCCGGTGGCGGAGATCGCGTCGCGTTGTCGCGAAGAAGGCGTTGCAGTGCATGTCGACGCCGCCCAGTCGTTCGGCAAGCTCTCAACGAATGTCGAAACACTGGGCGTCGACCTGCTGAGCGTCTCCGCTCACAAGACATACGGTCCCAAGGGCGTCGGCGCCTTGTTCGTGCGTAACGGCGTCGGCGTCGAGCCGCTGCTGTGGGGCGACGGCCGCGAGGAGGGCCTTCGATCGGGCATGCCGAACGTCGCCGGCGTGGTTGGGTTCGGCGCGGTTGCGACGGTGGCCGAAGCGGGTCGTGTGGAAGCCGGGAGCAAGATGGGCGGCTTACGCGAACGCCTGCAACAACGGCTCCTCGACGCCGCGAACGACGCGCTGGTGTTCGGGCCTTCCGACGCCGATCGACTCAGCGGCACACTCTGCGTCGCCCTGCCGGGCGTCGTCGCGACCGACCTGTTGGCCGCAACGCCAGAGATTCACGCGTCGCCCTGTGCGGCGGGCGCCAACGGCCACGGCGTGACGCTCGGGCCAACGCTCCGTGCGATCGGCGCCGATCCGGAGGCGTCCGCTGGCGCCGTGCGACTCTCGGTCGGGTGGTACACCGACGACGACGAGATCGACCAAGCCGCCAACGCGTTGCTCGCGGCTTGGGAACGGCTGCGATGACCCTTTGAGGCCGCCCAGCCGCTAGCGGTTGGCCTCGATCTCGCGGCTGCGAGCCATCGCATCCTCGGCGAGCTGGATGTAGCTCGTGTCGCCGGTCCCGGCGTAGGCCCGCTGGTAGGTGACGCTCAGGGCCGTGTAGCTGAAGGCGTCGCTGGGCTCGAGGTCGCAGACGCGTTTGGCGTGCTCGATCGCCTTGTCGTGCGCCTCGAGCTTCTGGTGGACGACCGCCAGGGCCGAGTGGGCCAGGGCGTAGTCCGGGTCGGCCGCGAGCGCCTCCTCGAGCTTTGCGGCGGCGGCGGCGAAGTCGCCGGCGTCTTTGAGCTTGTCGGCTTCGTCGTAGAGGGCGGCGGGATCGGCCATGTTCGCAGGGTTCGTGTTGAGGGTGCTAGCAAGGATCGGCGCCAATCCGGTGCCAACGGCCTGGACGGCTCCGGCCACGGATTGTACGAGGTGCGCAGAGCGTTGGCAGGCGCCACCGATGTACGCAGAACCGGTCGAAACGGCCGTTCCGGCTCACTCGGTGAAAGCGTCGCGACCGATACCAGTCGTTGGCGGGGCCGGCGCTGGCGCCAGCGTCTCGCCGCCGATCGACACGCGTCGCGTCGGCCAGCAACAGCGGGAACACACCGTGCCTATCCATCCCACCGCCCTGGTAGACCCGACGGCCGAACTCGGCTCAGACGTCGAGGTCGGTCCTTTCGCCATCGTCGAAGCCGGAGCTCGCCTCGGCGACGGGTGTCGGCTCTCGGCTCGATCGACCGTCAAGTCGGGCGTCACGATGGGGGCTCGCAACGTCGTGGGCGAAGGCGCCGTCATTGGCGGCCTGCCCCAGCACGTCGCTCCTCCCGGGCCCCCGGGCCGGGTCGAGATCGGCGACGGGAACCAGTTCCGCGAGAACGTCACGGTGCACCGCGCGATGCACGAAGAGAACGTCACGACGATCGGCAGCAACTGCATGCTGATGGTCGCGTCGCACGTGGCTCACGACTGTGTCGTCGACGACGACGTCGTGATGACCAACAACGTCATGCTGGCGGGCCACGTCACGGTCGGCAGCCGCGCGTTCCTCGGCGGCGGGTCGGCCGTCCACCAGTTCTGCCGCGTCGGCCGCCTGGCGATGATCGGCGGGATGGCCCGAGTCACGCAGGACGTCCCCCCGTTCGTCACGATCGACGGCGGCACGGGCGCCGTGGTCGGGCTGAACCGCGTCGGGCTCCGCCGCGCGGGCATCGACCGCCACGCGATCCGCGACATCAAAGCGGCCTACCAACTGATCTACCGCAGCGGGCTGCCGTTCGCGGACCGGCTTGCCAGCCTTGCGACTGAGTACCCAGAAGGTCCGGCCTCGGAGTTCGAGCCTTTCCTCCGCGACACGTCGCGCGGCTTCACCCGCGAGCGACGCTCGCCGCCGGGCGGCACGATCCGCGTCTTGGACGACGCGATGGACGCCGAAACGCCCGCCGCGGAACGAGTTGCTCAGCGCCGCGTCGGCTGACGGGCGAATCAGCCGTCAAGCAACGACCGCAGGCGATCACGCTCGGCGACCTGCCGCGCTTGCTCCTCACGCCAAGCGGCCAGGGCTTTCTCCGAGAGCTCTTCGCCCTCGAGGAGCCCTTCGATCTGGCCCGCTAGGCGGTCCGCCGCGCCCGGCGCGAATCCTAGCTGAACTGCTTGGACTTTGCCCTGCTTGCCGATGAGCAGGATCATCGGGATGGGGCCGACACGGTACTCGTCGCCCACCTCACCGCTCGTGTCGATCAAAGTCTCGGGCGACAGGCCTCTCGCTTCGAGAAAAGCGGCGACGTCGCTCGGCTCTTCGCCGAGGTTCACCGGGTAGTACTTCAAGCCCTGCGAAGCGTAGCGCTTCTCGAGCTCCTCGAGCTCGGGCATCGCTTGGATGCAGATCGGGCAACTGGTTGACCAGAACTCGAGCATAACGACTTCGTCTTCGCCGCGGTCGTCCAGCGCGACGCGCTCGCCGTCAGGCTTCGCCAACTCGAAAGCCGGCGCCGGCTTGCCGAGCAGGTGGTACGGCGGACGCGGCGGACGCCGGTAGAGCGACGCCTGCAGGATCGAGTTCTTCGGCTCGACGACGGTGATCTCGTCCCCCGCGTCGTTCGAAATCTCCCAGTTGGAGAACTCGAAGCTCTGCACGTAGTCGAACGTGTCGAACTTCTTCGAGAGTTGAACCACGCCAGGATCGTCCGACAGATCGGGCACGAGGCGACGGATCAGCGACCGCTCGTCGGCCGTGAACCACGCGTCGAAGACCAGGCCGCCCGTCACGGTGTACCGGGCGTGGTGCAGCGCTTCGCCCTCGACGTCTACTTCACCGAGGTATTCGCTCGACTCGATGTTGTCGATCAGGCTCTTGCCCGTTTCGCGGCTGAGGGGCGACAGCGCCAAGTTGCCCAACCCGCTGCCGATCGACCCCGCCGACGGCGAGCGGACGAACGCCGCGAAGCCGCCGTCGTTCTCGGCCAGCATGTGCCGGCGGCGACTGATGAGCTGCGTGAGCGTCACGCGACCGTTGCCGACCACGCGGTATCCGCGAACCGGCTCGCTGCCGTCCTCGGTGGCCGACACAAACTCGAAGCGGCCCCCCGGAGCGGTGCGGTAGCGGAAGACCGATCCGGTGACGTCTTTCTGGTCGTCGCGGACCAGCGTCGTCTCGGCCAAGAAGTCAACCGAGGCGGCCGGCGCCTCGGCCAGCGTCTTGATCGACTGGCTGAGCAGCTCCGTGGGATCGGGCTCCGCGGTCGCTTGACCCAAGGTGCTGCTCGCCGTGAAAGCAAGCAGGACGGCGACCGCAGCGGCTAAGGGGAAGACTCGCATCGAACTACCTACACGCGGGTTTCGTGACCCAGGGCGGTGACGCCTGACCCTTCTATATCCTGCCACGCGGCCGATGGTTCGGCCGTTGCGGCAGCGAATTCACAGCAACGCCTTCCGTCGGTGAGCACGCTCACCGACGGAAGAGCTACATCAGGTCCTATCTCAGCGACCCTGGAGCAGCCGGCCCTTTCTGCCGACGGCCCCCGGGAGGTCCCCGCTACGCTTGCGACAAAGCCGCCTGCGCCGCCGCCAGTCGGGCGATCGGCACGCGGAACGGGCTGCAGCTCACGTAGTTCAACCCGACCTCGTGGCAGAACTGGATCGACGCCGGGTCGCCTCCGTGCTCGCCGCAGATGCCGAGCTTGATCTTCTTGTTGACCGACTGCCCCTTGCTGACGGCCGTCTCGACAAGCTGGCCCACGCCCGACGTGTCGATCGACTGGAACGGGTCCTTCTCGAGGATCTCCTGGCCGATGTAGTCCGGCAGGAAGCCGTTCACGTCGTCGCGCGAGTAGCCGAACGTCATCTGCGTCAGGTCGTTCGTGCCGAAGCTGAAGAAGTCCGCCTCGGTGGCGACCTCGTCGGCCGTGAGCGCGGCGCGGGGGATCTCGATCATCGTGCCGATCAGGATGTCGAGCTTGCCGGTGTGCTTCTTGGCGGCCTTGACCTTCTTGATCGTCTCCTCGGCCAGCTCACGCAGCAGGGCGAGCTCCTTCACGGTGCCGACCAGCGGGATCATGATCTCCGGCTTGGCGTCGATCTTCTTCTTGACGCAGGAGATCGCCGCCTCGGTGATCGCCGTCACTTGCATGACGAGGATCTCCGGGTAGGTGATGCTCAAGCGGCAGCCACGGTGGCCGAGCATCGGGTTCGCTTCGTGGAGCTGCGACACGCGGGCCGCGATCTCCTTGGCCGGCACGCCGGTAGCGGCCGACAGTTCCTTCTGGCTCTTCGCGTCGTGCGGCACGAACTCGTGCAGCGGCGGGTCGAGCAGGCGGACCGTGACGGGCAGGCCCTTCATCGCCTTAAAGATGCCCTCGAAGTCCTTCCGTTGGAACGGGAGCAGCTTCTTGAGTGCCTTCTCACGAGCCGACTTGTCCTCGGCCAGGATCATCTCCCGCATCGCGAGGATGCGGTCGCCCTCGAAGAACATGTGCTCCGTGCGGCAGAGGCCGATGCCCTCGGCGCCGAAGTCACGCGCCCGCTTGCTGTCGGCCGGCGAGTCGGCGTTCGTGCGGACGCCGAGCTTGCGGTACTTGTCGGCCCAGCCCATGACCGTGGCGAAGTTGCCCGACAGCTTCGGCGAGACGGTCGGCATCTCGCCGGCGAAGACCTCGCCGGTCGAGCCGTCGATCGACAGCACGTCCTTCACGCCGTAGGTCTTGCCGCCGACCTTGATCTTCTTGCCCTTCTCGTCGATCTGGATTTCGCCGGCGCCGGCGACGCAGCACTTGCCCCAGCCGCGGGCGACGACGGCCGCGTGGCTGGTCATGCCGCCGGTGCTGGTGAGGATGCCGGCGGCGGAGTGCATGCCGTCGACGTCCTCGGGGCTCGTCTCCTTGCGGACCAGCAGCACCTGCTCGCCGTTGTGCGAGCGCTCGACCGCTTCTTCGGCCGTGAACGCGAGCTTGCCGAACGCCGCGCCCGGCGAGGCGGGCAGGCCGATCGTCAAAGCGCTGGCCTTCTTCTTCGCGGCGGGGTCGAACGACGGCAGCAAGAGCTGCGTCAGGTCGCCGGCCGGCACACGCATCACCCCCGTCTTCTCGGAGATGAGCTTCTCCTTGACCATCTCGCACGCAATCCGCACGGCGGCCATGCCCGTCCGCTTGCCGTTGCGGGTCTGCAGCATGTAGAGCTTGCCCTTCTCGATCGTGAACTCGATGTCCTGCACGTCCTTGTAGTGCTTCTCGAGCTTCGTCTTGATCTTCATCAGCTCGGCGTGGACCTTCTTGCCAATCGTTTTGTCGGCGTCGCACTTCCACTTGGGCATCTCGGCCACGGGCTGCGGCGTGCGGATGCCGGCGACGACGTCCTCGCCCTGCGCGTTCACGAGGAACTCGCCGTAGAACTTGTTCTCACCGGTCGACGGGTTTCGCGTGAAGGCGACGCCGGTGCCCGAGTCGTCGCCCATGTTGCCGAAGACCATCGACTGGACGTTCACCGCGGTGCCGGCCAGGCCGGTGATGCCCTCGATGCGGCGGTAGCTGATCGCCTTGTCGGACATCCAGCTCTTGAAGACCGCCTCGACCGCCAGCGCGAGCTGCTTGAGCGGGTCCTGCGGAAAGTCCTGCTTCGTGTGCTTCTTGTAGACCTTCTTGTACGCGTCGCAGAGCTCGATGAGGCCCTTCGTCGGGACGTCGTTGTCCTCCGCGGCGCCGTACTTCGTCTTGATCTTCGAGAAGGCCTCCTCGAAGTACTCGTGGTGGACCTCCATGACGACATCGCCGTACATGTTGATCAACCGACGGTAGGCGTCGTAGGCGAACCGTTCGTTGCCCGTGGCGTTCGCCAAGCCGGCGACCGACTCGTCGTTGAGCCCCAGGTTGAGGATCGTGTTCATCATGCCGGGCATCGAGACCGCCGCGCCCGAGCGGACCGACATCAGCAGCGGGTTCTTGGTGTCGCCGAATTTCTTGCCGGCCTCCTTCTCGAGCGTCTTGACCGCGGCGCCGACCTCGTCCATCAGGCCCTTGGGCAGCTTGCCGCCCGCCTTGTTGTAGAGGGCGCAACACTCGGTCGTGATCGTGAAGCCGGCCGGGACCGGCAGGCCGATCGAGGTCATCTCCGCCAGGTTGGCGCCCTTGCCGCCGATCAGGGTCTTCATCGACCCGTCGCCTTCGGTCTTGGTCTTGCCGAAGTAGTAAACCATCTTGCCAGCGGCGGGCTTCTTCTTAGCCATCGTGTTGTTCGTATCCTGTTTACTGCGGAGGCGGGGAGCGGGCGGGACGGCGAGAGTCGCCGTTGGCGTGACGAGCCTGGGGGCCGGCTCCCGAAAACCGGGTGGCGGCTCGCGGGGGAGCGAGCCGAAGATTCGCTGTCTGGTGGACCGCCGCGCGGACTCGGCGCGTACGGTTGGCGGCCGCGGGAGGCCGCGAAAATGAACGCGGAGCGTAGTCTGGCGGGTGACGCTCCGTCAAGCGTCTGGACGCCGGATGGCGGCTAAATCGGTTGTCCGATCGCGTCGCATAAGAAGCCGACGTAGGCCTTCGACCGTTTGAACGCGTCGGCGATCCGGTCGACCACGTCCGTGGCCATCAGGTCGTCGTGGTCGAGGTCCGCCACGGCGATGTGGTCCTTCCGCTTGAGGTCCTCGATCATCGGGTGCTCGGCGTCGTAGCCGCGGGGCGGCCGCTTTAGCGAGTCGCCCGAAGGCGCCCAGACCTCCCGGAACCGCTTCCCGTCGCGGGCCCGCTTCCACCGGGAAGGCTCCTCGTCGATCCGTTCTCGGATCGCCGTGAGAGTCGGCGTGCAGGGCCGCCAGATGCCGGCCCCCAGGAAGCACTCGTCGAGGGCGATGTGGACGTAGAACCCGGGGCAGTGGACGTCCTTGCCCGACTCATGCCGGAACTGGATGCCGACGTTCGTCTTGTACGGCGTCTTGTCCTTGCCGAAGCGGACGTCGCGGTGGATCCGCATCAGCGAGCCGCCCACCTTCTTCGGCACGGCGGTGAAGTGTGGCGAGATCGCCCGGAGTGGTCTCTCCATCGCGGTGATGAAGGCCAGGGCGGGTGTCCGCACGTCGCGCTCGTAGCGCTCTTTGTTGGCGTCGAACCACGGCTTGTGGTTGTTGCGAGAGAGCTCTTCCAAGAAGTGGAACAAGCCGAGCGGGAACCCCGCAAACTGCGACTTCGATCTCGCCATCGCGCCAACCTCCGAGGCAAACCGCGCCGCCAGGTCGTTGGCGTCGCCCCTCTGAAGCTATCGACGAGAACGAACGCTGCCCATGGCCGGCAAGGCGCGCCGCCGGTTCGGGCCCGTCGCCCTCGCGCTCGCACGAGGGCGAAAAAGAAAGCGGCCCGGTCCACGTTGGACCGGGCCGCTTGTTAGCCGTCGTTGACCAGCCTTCCCGCGAAGGGAGGCTCGCCGCTACGAGTGGCGAGCTTCTCCGAGGAGGCTCTCCTTAATCATCCAGCCGCTGTCGCCCGAGGGCGTCAGCCGTTCAGTTGCAGTCGCAGTCGGCGGCCGGAGCCTCGCACGGGGCGGGGCAGTCCGTCACGATCTTGCACGGCACCTGGATCGTGACGCAACGCGGCACGCAAACCTTGACCGTGTAAGCAACCTGACGCGGGACGCACTTGTAGCACGTGACGGTGCGGCTGCACTGCTGCGGGACGCAGACGTTGTAGCACACGGTCTTCGTGCGGCACTCCGGCACCATCCGGCAGACCTGGTAGCTGCAGGTCTTGCACTCGGGAACCATCTTGCAGACCTTGTAGCACACGGTCTTCGTGCGGCACTCGGGCACCATCCGGCAGACCTTGTAAGTGCAGGTCTTGCACTCAGGAACCATCTTGCAAACCTTGTAGCAGCACGTCTTCGTGCGGCACTCGGGCACCATACGGCAGACCTTGTAAGTGCAGGTCTTGCACTCAGGAACCATCTTGCAAACCTTGTAGCAGCACGTCTTCGTGCGGCACTCGGGCACCATCCGGCAGACCTTGTAGCTGCAGGTCTTGCACTCGGGAACCATCTTGCAAACCTTGTAGCACACGGTCTTCGTGCGGGGCTCGCAGACGTACTTCGTGCAGCAGATCTCCTTCGTCTCGCAGCTCGGGACCCAAACCCGCTTGCAGCAGGTCTTCGGCGCCGTGGTGCACTCGATCTTGCAGCACTTGCCGGGGCAGTAGCAGTTGCAGCAGGTCGCGGGGTTGTAGACCCACTTGCCCGGCGTGCGGACGGTGCGGTAGTAGGTCTTGCCCGGGACGGTGTAGCTCTGCGTCTGCCAGCTTCCCGTGTTCACCGTGATGGTGCGCGTGTACGGGACGGCCTTGCGGACGTAGTAGGTGACCTCGCGGCTACGGTCTTCCCAAACCGGGCGGTGGACCGTGTAGTTCCGCGTCTTGGTCTCCCACACCGGCTTCATCACCGTGTAGTTGATCTCGCGCTGACGCGTCTCGTAGACCGGACGGTGGACGGTGTAGTTGCGGGTCTTCGTCTCCCACACCGGCTTCATGACGGTGTAGTTGATCTGACGCTGACGCGTCTCGTAGACCGGACGGTGCACCGTGTAGGTGCGCGTCTTCGTCTCGTACACCGGCTTCATCACCGTGTAGTTGACCTGACGCTGACGCGTCTCGTAGACCGGGCGGTGCACCGTGTAGGTGCGCGTCTTCGTCTCGTACACCGGCTTCATGACGGTGTAGTTGACCTGCTTCTGACGCTGCTCGGTGACGTGCTTCGTGTAGTTGACGACCTTGTCGTAGGCGACGCGGTCGTAGACCGTGCGGTAGCGCGTCTCGCAACGCTCTTCCATGATCCGCCGGGTCTCGGTGCGGTAGAGGGTCCGCGACTGCGGGCTGACGCCGCCGTCAGCGACCGCTCCGGCGCCGTCGTAACGGGCGGTGCAGTCGCACGACGCGTCGGCGCCGGTCGAGGCCGTGGCCACGACGACAGCCAGCAGCGGCATGCCAAAGAAACGTTTCATTGTTTGTCGCCTCCTTAAAACACAGCTGGGTGAAATGGGGTAGCTGGTCAAGACGGGTTGTCCGTCCGTATCTAGGTCGGGAGGCCACAACCTCACCCCTTAGCTGTTCTTCCTAAATTCCGCTATCGGCGCCGGCGCCGCTGTCGTTGCGATCGATCACGGTTAACGCGTTCCCTCCCAAGCGTTTAGGTCGATGCCCGCGTCGACCGTGGTGTCCGGTGCTACGACTCGCGCCGGTCGGTCCGGTTGGTCCGTTCGCGCGCTGCGATTCGCTTGTGGACGGCCTCGACGGAGCCGCCCGAAATTGCGGCAACCGCTGGCATTGCCTAGAGTTACGTTGAACCAGCCGCACCCAGCCCGCCACGCGCGGCGTCACGCCCTCGCCCTGCTCGCCCCCTCCAGACCGAGACCCCGCGTCGCCAGGCATGAGCGAAGAGCAGCAACCCGGCGAGCCGAAGACCCCCCCGAAAGCGGTCGTCAATCGACTCAGCCTCTACCTGCGTGAGCTCCAAAGGCTCGTCCGCGACGGGCAGCAGACGATCAGCTCCAGCCGGCTCGGCAAGCTGCTCGGCTTCACGGACGCCCAGGTACGCAAGGACCTCGCGTACTTCGGCCAGTTCGGCCAGCCGGGGGTCGGGTACCGCTGCGACGACCTGGTCCCGGCGATCCGCCGGATCCTGGGGACCGACCGCGAATGGGTCGTCGGCCTCGTGGGCGTCGGGAACCTGGGCCGGGCGCTGCTCGGCTACCGGGGGTTCGAGCCGCAGGGCTTCCGCCTCGCGGCGGCGTTCGACACCGACCCGGCTAAGATCGGCCAAGCCTTCGGCGGCGTGATCGTCGAGCCGCTTGAGTCGCTCGAGGACTCGACCCGGACCAAAGGTGTGACGCTCGGCCTGATCGCCGCTTCGGCCGAGTCGGCGCAGGAGATCGCCAACCGCTTCGTCTCGGCCGGCGTGCAGGGGATCCTCAACTTCGCCCCGGTGACGCTGTCGCTGCCGCCCGAAGTCAGCCTGGTCGGCGTCGACCTCGCGACCGAACTGGAACAGCTCAGCTTCTCGGTCGCGAACCGGCTCGCCAGCGAAGCCGTCCGTCCGAGCGGCGAGGACCCGTTAACTCCCGCCGTAGACTGAGGTAAGCTCCTTACGAGCCGACGGGGTCCACCCCTCGGCTGCGGAACCCCGTAGTGTAATGGTAACACCAGGGATTTTGATTCCCTTATTCCAGGTTCGAGTCCTGGCGGGGTTGCTTGAAAGAGTGGTCAGCTTTCAGCGATCGGCTGTCAGCTCTCGTGGCTGACTGCTGACCGCTGACCGCTGACCGCTCCCTTGCTCTCCTCTCCCGAAGCCCGCTTCGCCGTCGCGGCGGTCCGTGACACCGCCCTGCTGACGCGACGCGTCCAAGCCGAGATGGTGACCGACGCCCTCACCAAGGGCGACAAGTCCCCCGTCACCGTCGGCGACTTTGCCGCTCAGGCGATCGTCGGCAAACGCCTCTCCGAAGCCGCCGCGGCCGGTTCGTTCTGCGGCGTGCTGGTTGGCGAGGAGTCGGCGGACGACCTCCGCTCGCCGGACGGCGCCGCGACGCTCGAGCAAGTGGTCCACTTCGTCCGCTCGCTCGAGCCCGAAGCCACCCCTGAACAGGTCTGCGACTGGATCGACGTCGGCGCCGCCGGCGCCGCTGACGCTTACTGGACGCTCGACCCGATCGACGGCACGAAGGGCTTCCTACGCGGCGACCAGTACGCCGTGGCGCTGGCCCTCGTCGAGAACGGCGAGGTGCAGCTGGGGGTGCTCGGCTGCCCGGAACTCGAAGACGCCACGACGCCGAACCGCGGCGGCGCCGGCTCGCTCCTGCTGGCCGCACGGGGCGAAGGGACTCGTGTGCAGCCGCTCGCGGTGGCTTCTGACGCCTGGAAGCCGCTGAGCGCTTCGCCGCAGACCGACGCAACGCAGACACGGATGCTCCGCTCCGTCGAGAAGGGTCACACGAACCTTGGGGCGATCGACCACCTCGCCACGGCGATGGGCGTCGCGGCCGACCCGGTCGGCATGGACAGCCAGGCGAAGTACGCCGTCCTCGCCGCCGGCGGCGGGGAGATGCTCGTGCGGCTGCTTTCGGCCGACCGGCCCGACTACCGCGAGAAGGTCTGGGACCAAGCGGCCGGCTCGATCGTCGTCGAAGAAGCAGGCGGCCGCGTAACGGACCTGGACGGAAAGCCGCTCGACTTCTCCAAGGGTCGGACCCTGGCCGAGAACCGGGGCGTCGTCGCCACCAACGGCCCGCTGCACGACGCGGCGCTAGCCGCTTTGCGTGAGATCGACGCTTAGGTCTCGCGGCATTCAGCCATCGACCAGATCGAGCGTCGCCCAGCAGCTCGGGTCCTCGTCGAACGGCATCGCCGGCCCGCTGGCGAACGTCTGCAGGCCGAGCTCGCGATCGACGATCGCGTAGTTGAACCCCAAGCGCGGGTGCTGCTCGGGGTCGTAGCCGGTCAGGGCCACCGCCGGGATGAACGCCGCCAGGCGGTAGCCGTTCTTCGTGACCTTCGCGGCGACCTGCAGTTCGCGGGCCCGCACCGGGCGGGCGTTCTCACGGGCCCGGTTGATCAGCAGTTGGTCGGCGACCGGCTCGGCGTCGCCGCGGCCGCCGCCGGCCGGGGTGAAAACGTAGCGGTGACAGAACTTGGTCGCGCGGTGGACGGTGTGCGTCGCCCGCGTGTCGATCCAGACGTGCAGCCCGTCGCTCTCGTCGAGACGCGTCTCGCGACACCAGACCGGTGTCTGCTTGTCGGTCACCTCGACGCGGAAAGCGACCCCTTCGGGCGCCCAGGCCATCCGAACGTCGGCGAACCGCCGCTCCGAGGCGGGCGTCTCCCGGTCGAGCGCGGCGAGGTCGGGCAGGACGTACGGCTCGCCGAACGAGACGCCCTTGGGCGACCAGATCGGCGTCTTCCGCCGCACCGGCACGGCGAACTGGAACAGATACCGCGGGGCGAGCAGCGTGTTGAGCTGGGGCGCGGCGTCGGGCATCGGGGGCGCTCTTCGTAGTGGCTCGGGTCGGGTCGCCGTGCAGTCCGTTTGAGGCGGCGCGGCGAGCTTACCTCGGCGCGAGCGTCACGATCACCCGGCGGCCCTGCATCGACGGGCCCTGCTCCACCTTGGCGATCTCTTCCAGCTCGTCGATGACGCGCTGCACGAGCTTGAACCCCTCGTCCGTGTGGGCGTTCTCGCGGCCGCGGAAGATCACGGAGAAGACGACTTTGTCCTTTTTCTCCAGGAAACCCTTCGCCCGCTCGACCTTGGTCATCAGGTCGTGCTCGCCGATCTTCGGCCGCAGGCGGACTTCCTTGTTCTGGCTCTGGTGGACGTGGCCCTTGTTGTGCCGCTTCTTCTGCTGGTACTTGAACTTCCCGTAGTCCATGATCCGGCAGACCGGCGGACGCTCGTTCGGAGCGACCTCCACCAGGTCCAAACCGGCCGCCTTCGCCTGATTGAGGGCGTCCTCGGTCTCGATGACGCCGAGCTGCTCGCCCTCGGCGGAGATCACGCGCACCGGAGTGATCCGGATCGCTTCGTTGATGCGTTGCTGGTCTTTTCGATCGGCGTTGCGATCGAACGTGCGGAAACGGGACAAATCGGCGCCTGCGGGGGAAGGGAACAGCCGGGCCCCGACTACGGGACCGCGGCAGACCCGCAAGTATTGGTCACAGAACGGGCCTGCGTCAACTGAACCGGAGGGGCGAAATCCCCCGGATTTCCGGCCTGCAGGCCCTCAGGGGCTCTCGTCGGCGACCCGCCGCAGCCGCACCGTCACCGTGCCGGCCGGCTCGCCGCCGTGGTAGTGCTCCCACTCCTGCACCAGCTCGTCAGCCGACGGCATCGACAGCTTCACGCCGTGCATGTGCATCTCGGTCGGCTCCGCCAGGTTCGCGGCGTCGTGGTACGAGAAGGTGATCGCGTCCCCCTCGAAGCCGGTCGAGCGGTACCTCGGCTGGTTCCCCAGCCCGCAGTAGTGCGTCGCCATCACGCCGTCGCCGTCGTCGTGGTAGACGCTGAGCATCTCCTCGGGCGAGCCCTTCATGAGCCGCTCCACCAACGCGCTGTTGCCCGAGGTGAGGTAGTACTCCACGGTGACCGGCCCCTCGCCCTCGTGGTCGACCTTGGTCCCCTTCCAGACGCCAACCAGGTCGGCGAGCCGCTGGAAGTCGCTCGAGAACGGCTTGAGCACATAGTCCCCCGGCTCAAGGTCCGCGGCGCCGAGCGGCAGGGCGACCGAGAGCGCCAACAACAACGCAGCGACCAGACGTGACATGACGAGGATCTCCGAACAGGCGAAGTGAGACGACGCCCAATACGTTACCAGATTGTCACGCAACAACAACCTTCGGCCGGGAGTTTTGTCGGGGGTGCGGGAAACGGCGCCCCCCCGACAGAAGTCGGCTGTTTCGGCGGGCAACTCGTTGCGCCAAAACACCTTGGAGTTTTGTCGCCCCCAAGCTCCTGCCGTGGCTCGCTTTTCAGAAACCGAGAACCACCATTCTACCCGGGTGACGCGACCGACCGCGCACGCCGCTTCGGTCAGCGCCTCGCACGAGCCATCGCCTGCGGCGTGCTCGACGTTAGTAGAGCGGATTGTGGGAGGCGTCTCCGACGCCGATTTCGGTAGTGCCAGCCGCGGACGTTGAGCGCCACGTCATCGGCGTCGGAGACGCCTCCCACAGAAGAGCCGCGATCGCTAAACCGACTTCGACTCTGCCCTAGAGCATCAGCAGCAGCCCCGCCGCCACCGCGGACGCGAGCCAGGTCCGCGCGACATTCCAGCGGTTCCACCGCGGCTCGAACGCCTCGCGTGCCTCAGCAAGGGCCGCGTCGTCGAGCGCGTCCAGGTCAGTCGCCTGCAGCGCGTTATTCAGTGGGACGTTGATCCGCATCGTCGGCAGTTGCACGCCGACAACGTGGGCGGCCGCCATCGCGGCGAGCAGCCACCGCGTCACGCCCTCCCCCGTCACGAGACCGATGCCTGCCGCGACGACGACCGACAACGTCGAGCCGACCCACACCACAAAGAACAACGGCGACCCGCGCTGGATCACGCCGTCGACCTCCTGAAATGCCCGCAGGAACTCCCGGTCGGGCAGCCGCCGGATGCCCGGCATCACGACGACAGCGAACGCGAACAAGAACCCCGCAAGGAGCGAGCAGAGAAACGCGGCGGTCAGCAGGGCGTAGTACAAGGGCGTCATCCCCGTAGCGTAACCACGTAGGGTGCGATGCAGCGAAGCGGAATCGCACCGTCAGGTTCTAAACAGTCGGCCCGACGAGTCCCGGAGGGACGACAGCGCGTAGCCAGGGGCGCAAGCCCCTGGTGATGAGCCAAGCGATCCCCCGCAAGCCTCAGAGGGGCGACAGCGCGATCGGCGAACGGGCCCGCTGTCGCCCCTCCGGGGCTCGTTGTTTTGCCGACCTCGAATCCGGGGGCTCGCGCCCCCGGCTACGCGCTGCCGCCCCTCCGGGGCTGAGCGCCGTCGGTTCGGGGCGAGTCGGCGGGGTAGGCGCCAGCACCTACCCGATTCAGAGGCGCAACTGTGGAAACAACAGGCAGGCCAACAGAAGCACGACCGCCACCACGATTGCGCAAACACCTGCGACCTTAGTTAGCGAGCGGTTGGTCATCAGGCTGATCGCCTCCTCCGGATACCCAAGCTTCCGGAAGAACTTGGCGTGCATCCTTGCCGTGGGCTTTGCGAGGAGGAGGTTCAACGATCCTCCGACGATCAGGACAAGCGCTATGCTGACAAGAGCTGGCATCGTCGACGCCGTGCGGAAGTTGTGTCCAACGAGTCCCGGAGGGACGACAGCGCGTAGCCAGGGGCGTAAGCCCCTGGTGATGGGCCAAGCGAACCCCACAAGTCCCGGAGGGGCGACAGCGCGATCGGCAGACGGGCTCGCTGTCGCCCCTCCGGGGCTCGTTGTTTTGCCGACGTCGAATCCGGGGGCTCGCGCCCCCGGCTACGCGCTGCTGCCCCTCCGGGGCTGAGCGCTATCGGTTCGGGGACGATCCGGGGAGGTAGGTGCGAGCACCTACCCTACTTGCTACCGGTGGAGCATGAAACCAAAGAGAAAATCGATGACCGCGAGGATTAGTGGAGACACGAAGCACAACCGGCCTAGCGGCGTCAGAATGTTCAGTGGGTAACCCAACTGAAACGGATTCCCATTTGTGAGCCGGTACATCCTCTCCGCCTGCTCTTCTTCTGAGACGACAAGCTTTGTCGCGGCGTAGAGGCTCAGAGCGAAAGCGACGGCATATGGGATGAGTGAAGCGAACACGAACTACCCAATGTCAATCGTCACCAACTGATTGGCCTATCGAACGAAGAACGCATTGTTCTTCCGCGAGCCTTAGGGCTGCCTCCCTCAGTACTCGTTCCCCGCCGCTCTGCCGCTGAGGTCGGCGGAGGCTGGCTTCGCCACCTGGCGGACGCGGCGCTCGGCGATCTCCGTCTTCAGGTGGGCGATCGCGTCGGCCAGCGGTTGGGCGCCGAGGTCGCCGTCGATCCGATCTCTTAGCGCGACGGTGCCCTCGTCGCGGTCCTTCTCGCCGATGATCACCAGGTACGGGATCAGCGCGAGCTGGCCCTCGCGGATCTTTGCGCCGAGCTTCGAGCCGCGGTAGTCGCCCTCGACGCGGAGGCCCGCCTCGCGGAGCTGCGCCTCCACCTCGCGGCCGTACTCCTCGGACTTCTCGCTGACGGTGACAACCCGCGCCTGGATCGGCGCGAGCCAGAGTGGGAACGCGCCGGCGAAGTGCTCGATCAGCACGCCGAGGAAACGCTCCATCGAACCGAACGGCGCTCGGTGGATCATCACCGGCCGGTGCGGCTTGTTGTCGGCGCCGGTGTACTCCAGGTCGAAGCGCGCCTCGCTCGGCAGGTTGTAGTCGAGCTGCACCGTGCCGAGCTGCCACTCGCGGCCGATGCAGTCGGTGACGACGAAGTCCGCCTTCGGTCCGTAGAACGCCGCCTCGCCCGGCTCGATCGACAAGCCCGGCAGGTCCATCGACTCGCAAACCTTCTGCAGCTCCGACTCGGCGCGGTCCCACAGGGCCTCGTCGCCGACGTACTTCGAGCTATCCGGGTCACGGAAGCCGAGCCGCACGCGGTAGTCCGTCATGCCGAGCGAATCGAGGACCCATTGGGTCATTTCGAGGCAGCCGCGGAACTCGTCGGCGACCTGGTCGTCGGTGCAGAAGATGTGAGCGTCGTCTTGCGTGAAGCCGCGGACGCGGGTCATGCCCGACAGCTCGCCCGACTGCTCGTAGCGGTACACCGTGCCGAACTCCGCCAGCCGCACCGGCAAGTCGCGGTACGAGCGCGGCTTCGATTGATAGATCTTGATGTGGTGCGGGCAGTTCATCGGGCGCAGCAAGTAGCGCTCGTGCTTGTGCGCCCAAGCGTCGAGCGCGGCGGCGCGGGCCTCGCTCGAAGCCGCGGCGTCGACCTCGCCGTCGAAGCCGAGCAAGCGCGCGGCCTCGAGGAGCTTCGCCTCCTCGTCAGGAGTGATCTCGCCGGCGCGGAGCCGCTCCACCAGCACGTCGACGAGAGAGCCGGCCTCGTGCTCGCAGAGCACGGGGAACTGGCTGTCACGGTAGTACGGAAAGTGGCCGGAGGTCTCGTACAGCTCGACCCGGCCGACGTGCGGCGTGTAGACGATCTCGTAGCCACGCTTGATGAGCTCGGTGCGGAGCATCTCCTCGAGCGTCTGGCGGATCATGGCGCCCTTGGGCAGCCAGAGGATCAGCCCTGATCCGGCCGTTTGGTCGATCGTGAACAGCTCGAGTTGCTTGCCGAGCACGCGGTGGTCGCGCTTCTTCGCTTCCTCAAGGCGCTCGAGGTGCTCGTTCAGTTCCTTCTTGTCGAAGAACGCCGTCGCGTAGAGCCGCTGCAGTTGGTCGCGCGACGAGTCGCCCTTCCAGTAGGCGCCCGCGACCGTCAGGAGCTTGAACGCCTTGCCGACGTGCGACGTCGAGGGGATGTGCACGCCGCGGCAGAGGTCGACAAACTCGCCCTGGCGGTAGAAGGAGAGATCGCCGTCCTCCTCGGCCAAGCCGGTCTCGACGTGCTCGACCTTGAAGCGCTGGCCGAGCTCTTGGCAGAGCTCGCGCGACTCGTCCTTCGGTTTCTCAAGCCGTTCAAAGACGAGGTTCTCCTTGACGATCTTCTTCATCTCCGCCTCGATCTTCGGGAAGTCGTCCTCGGAGATCGGCTCGGGCAGGAGCATGTCGTAGTAGAAGCCGCTGGCGGTCGTCGGGCCGAAGGCGAGCTGCACGTCCTCGTACAGACGCATGACGGCTTGGGCCATCACGTGCGCGCAGGAGTGGCGCATGATCGGCAGCGCTTCGGGGTCGCGCTTCGTGAGGAACTTGACTGCGGCTTTGCCGTCGGCGGGCAAGCGGTAGGCGAGGTCACGCTGCGCGCCGTCGACCTCCGCGGCGATGGCGGCTTTGGCGAGGCCGGGGCCGATCGCTTCGGCGACCTCGAGGCAAGTGACAGAAGAATCGAAGTCGCGAGTGCTCCCGTCGGGGAGTTGAACCGTGAGCATGGGAAAGATGCGTTGTCTCGGTGGACCTGGTTGCCGCCCCGCTACAGAAGGGGCTGGCGTGAGGCGGGCGCCCGTGAGGGCTTCCCGCAAGCGGATGATACCGATTCTCGCCGCCCGGCGGCGCCGTGTCTTCGTGCTAGCGACACCCCCCAAAAGAGGTTCGATTTTTCTCGCGTTCTGTCTTGCTCCTTACGGACGAAACGTCGCACAATGCGCCGTGATGGAACGCTGCTCGCCGCCTGGACAGGCGGTCCCGCCCCCCGCGCCTAACGGAAGAGGAACCCACCCGATGTCTCGCCCCGCGTTGCTGCTTGCGCTGTTGTTCGCCACGGCCGGCCCGTCGGCCGCTACGACGATCGACATCCAGTTCACGAATCTCGACCTGTCTTACGACGGCAGCACCGTCACTGAAGACGGCGACGGCGACACGCTCAGCTCCATCACCATCGACGAAGACGGCGTGAACGTCGCCGCCTTCAATGGCGGGACCATCGACCTGGAGATTCCCGGGGTGACAGGGATCGATGTCGCGGGCGGAGTGGCCGTGAGCGACGACATGGGCTGGATGCTGCTGACCCTCCCGACGGGAGACACCGTCGAACTCAACCTCAGCAACGTCACCGTGAACTACGTCGACGCCGGCGCCTTCGGCGGCTTCGTCTTCGGCGGCACGATCGCCCAGATCCAAAGCCAGTCGCTGCCGAACGGCCTCGAGCTCGACGATGCGGCCACGGTGTCGTTCTCGGCGTCGCTCGTCTCGTCGGACGACGACGGCACGCACCTGACGTCGTTCAAGGCGTCGGGCACCGGCCAGGTGAGCGGCTCGCTGCTCGTGCCCGAGCCGACCGCCGCCGCCGCCGCGGGGCTGATGTTCCTGGTCGCCGCCGGCGCCGCCCTGATGCGGGCCAAGCTCGGCTGAGCCGGGCGTTCGCCCCTCTCGAACACGACGAAACCCCTGCCCCGGCAGGGGTTTCGCGTTTCTGCCGTTCCGCTATACTGCGGGGCTACCCAACCTTTGCGCCCCGAGACCGTGGCGCCGGACTCCCGTCCGGCCGCGGCGAGGACCTCGAGTCATGCCGAAGCAAAAGACCCACAAAGCGACCAAGAAGCGTTTTCGCCTGACCGGCACCGGCAAGGCGAAGCACCGCTTCAGCGGCACGAGCCACCTCGCCGCCCGCATGAGCCAGAAGCGGAAGCGGAACCTGCGCGGCTGCGAGGTCACCAACGACAGCAACTCGAAGAAGATCGCCGAGGTGCTGGCGGGGAACAGCTACTAGCCACTGACTAGATCGCCACCAAGCCGGTCGGGCGTGAAAACAGCGGGGTCGCTTCTGCCGATTCCCCGCGGCCTGGATCGAGCACAGCACCCCGAAAAGGGGAGAAAGGGAGTCCCACCATGCGGACCACCACCGGCGTCGCACGCCACAAGAAGAAGAAGCGTCTCTTCAAGCAAGCCAAGGGCAACCGCGGCGGTCGCGGCAAGCTGCTGCGGACCGTCAAGGAGACGGTCGTCCGCTCTGGCGCCTACTCGTTCCGCGACCGCAAGGTCCGCGCCCGCGAGTTCCGCAAGCTCTGGATCACGCGCCTCAGCGCGGCGTGCCGCATGCGGGGCCGCCGGTACAGCGAGTTCATCCACGCCCTGACCGAGCTGAAGATCGAGCTGGACCGCAAGACGCTCTCCGAGATGGCGATCCACGACGAGGCCGCCTTCGACGCCGTCTTCGCCCAGTGCGAGACCTTCTTGAAGAAGAAGGACGAGCAGCGTCTGGCGCGCGAGGCCGAAGAGAAGAAGGCCCGCGAAGCGGTCGCGGCCGGTTGATCCGGGCCCTTCGGCCGTTCTGCTGTGGGAGGCGTCTCCTGACGCGGATGACCCGCTGCAGGCCTGAGCGGCTAGGGTTCCGTAATCGGCTTCGGGAGAAGCCTCCCACACGCAAGTGATTCGCTACGTGGCGCTCGCTGACTTCATCGCCGATCTCGACGCCCTAGCGTCGGACGCTCAGGCGGCGTTTGACGGCGCCGCGGACGTCGCCGCGCTCGAAGCGGCGCGCGTCGAGTTCCTCGGCGCCAAAGCGGGCCGTCTCAAGGCGCTGCAGAAGGGCATGGGCTCGGTCGAAAAGGCCGACAAACCCGCCGCCGGGCAGAAGCTCAACGCGGTGAAGACGGCGGTCGAGGCCGCGTTCGAGGCGGGCAAGACGCGTCTCGAGTCGGGCGCCGCCGAGGCGGACGCCGCCGCGTTCGACCCGACCGTCCCCGGACGCCCGCTGCGTCGCGGCCGCCTGCACCCGATCACGCAGACGATCGAGCGGATGAAGGAGATCATGGGCCGCCTCGGCTTCACGGCCGTCGAGGGACCCGAGATCGAGGACGACTGGCACAACTTCGTCGCGCTGAACATCCCCGACACGCACCCGGCGCGCGACCCGCTCGACAACTTTTACTTGTCGGTAGCCGCTGCCGGGCTGGAATCAAAGCCCGCGACGGGTCCCGACGGCAAGCCGCTGCTGCTGCGGAGCCAAACGTCGACTGTGCAGATCCGGATGATGGAGTCAGCAATAGCCGCTTCCGCGGAGGGGGGCCCGCCGCTGGTGCGGATCGTCTCCCTGGGGCGCGTCTACCGGCCCGACACGGCCGACGCGACGCACTACCCGATGTTCCACCAGGTCGAGGGCCTCTGCGTCGCGCCGGGCGTGACGATGGCCGACCTGAAGGGCGTGCTGCAGATGTTCTGGCAATCCTATTTCGGATTAGAGAGCGACGAGCACATCGACGTCCGCTTCCGCCCCAGCTTCTTCCCATTCACCGAGCCGTCGGTCGAGTGCGACATCTGGCACGACGGCAAGTGGATGGAGATCGGCGGCGCGGGGATGGTCGACCCGAACGTACTCCGCGCGGTCGGCTACGACCCGGAGGAAGTCACCGGCTTCGCCTTCGGCCTCGGGATCGAACGCATCTGCATGCGGCAACACGGCATCACCGACATCCGCGACCTGTACACGAACGACGTGCGGTTCCTCGCCCAGTTCTGATTCGGATTCACCGCGGAGGCGCGGAGGACGCGGAGAGCCTGACAGCAGCGAGGGGCGTAGCGATGGAGGTCAAGTCCGTCGAAGTCTACAGCGAAGACTCAAATTATGCGGTCATGAAGCCTCCCGGGCGACACTACCCCGGAGCCGTCATTCAAGGCGACTCACTTGCTATGCTCGCAAGGATGTCCGTCAACATCGCGCGAGCAGCAGCAGAAGACCGGCTATCGTCCGAAGATTGCCTGGACAACATTCACGAACTCAATGAGCTGTTGGTGGGCCGCGTGCTGCATTACCAGTCGGTGCTTGATCGACACGGTATTGAATACCCGCACGTCCGGCCCTTTTCTGAAGACGACATCATCGAGCCATGAGTTCGAACACATGACTCTCCGCGTCCTCCGCGAACTCCGCGGTTAACACATGATTGTCTCAACCGATTGGCTCGCCGATTACGTCTCGCTCTCGATGCCGATCGAGGAGCTGACCGAGCGGCTCACGCTCACGGGGCTCAACCTCGAAGGGATCGAGCAGGTCGGCGACGACACGGCGATCGACCTGGAGGTCACGAGCAACCGCCCCGACTGCCTGGGGCACGTCGGCGTGGCGCGCGAGATCGCTGTCCTCTGGGGGCAAGACCTCAAGCAGCCCCAGCCGAAGCCGGCGGGCAGCGGCCCCGCCGTGGGGGAGCAGGTTGATGTCTCGATCGAGTGCCCTGACCTCTGCCCGCGTTACACGGCGCGCCTCATCAAGGGCGTGAAGGTCGGCCCGAGCCCCGCGTGGCTGCAGAAGCGCCTGACGACGCTCGGCGTCGCGACGATCAACAACGTTGTCGACATCACGAACTACGTGCTGATGGAGTGCGGCCAGCCGCTGCACGCGTTCGACGCGGCGAAGCTCAAGGGCGGCAAGATAATCGTCCGCCAAGCCAAGGCCGGCGAACCGTTCACGGCGATCAACCACAAAGAGTACGAGCTGACCGGCGACGAAGTCGTCATCGCCGACGCCGAGCGCCCCGTCGCGCTGGGCGGCGTCATGGGCGGAGCCGACACCGAAGTCTCCGAGGCGACGATCGACGTGCTGATTGAGGCGGCCGACTTCGCGCCGCTGTCGGTCCGCAAGGCGGCCCGCAAGCACGTGCTGTTCAGCCCCTCAAGCTACCGTTTCGAGCGCGGCGTCGACCCGGAGGGGATCGACTGGGCGAGCCGCCGCTGCTGCGAGCTGATCCTCGAGCTAGCCGGCGGCGAGCTGCAGGAGGGGGTCGTCGACGTGAAGACGCCCGCCTGGACCGAGCCCGCCGACCGCCGGTTCGACGACGACCGCGACCACATCAAACTCCGCTACCCGCAACTGCCGCGCGTGCTGGGGATCGACGTCCCCGCGGACGAGGTCCGCAAGATACTTGCTGACCTCGGCTGCACCGAGACGCACAACTGCGACCATTGTGTGAAGGTCGTTCCCCCCACTTGGCGGGCCGACCTGACGCGCGAGGTGGACCTGATCGAAGAAGTCGCCCGCATCTACGGGTACGACAAGATCCCGACCGCCACGAGCCTGCCGATCTTCCCGTCCGCCAAGCCGCGCGAGGACCACGTCGTCGAGCAGGTCCGCTCGATCCTCACCGGCGCCGGGTTCGACGAGGCTTACACACTCAGCGCGGTCGAGCCGGAGCTCGCCGAGGCGTTCCGCCCGTGGGCGATCGCCGACGGCGGCGGCGACGGGGCGCTGGCGACCGGCACGCCGGTCCTTCGGCGGGCTAGCCTGCTTCGGCAGAGCGTCACGCCGAGCCTGCTCGCTTGCCGTCGCACCAACGAAACGCTCTCCAACCCGGTGGTCGAGCTGTTCGAGATCGCGAAGGTCTACCTCCCGGGCCCTTCGTCGGGAGAGGGAGGCGACCTGCCGACCGAGAAGCGGGTGCTCGCGATCACGTCGGGCGGCGGTTTCGCGGAGCTGAAGGGGGTCATCGAGGGGCTGGTGGAACACGTCGCCCCGACGGCCGTGTTAACGACGACGCCGGCGAAGGGGTCGTTGCTGGATGGGTCGCGGAGTTGTGGGTTGCTGCTAAGCGGCAAGCCGCTTTGTTTGCTGGGAGAGCTGAGCGAGGAGGGGCGTGGCAAGTTCGAACTGCGGGGGGCGGCTTCGGTTGCGGAGCTCGACCTCGGCGTGCTGGTCGGCGCGGCGGAGCTGGTCCGCACGACGCGGCCGCTTTCGAGCTACCCGCCCGTGTCGCGTGACCTGAACGTCGTCGTGGACGAGGCGACGCCGTGGGCGTCGATCGAGCAGGCGGCGGCGACAGCCGGCGGAGACGGCGCTTCAGGCAACCTTGTCGAACAAATCGCGTTCACCGACGACAGCTTCCGCGACGCGTCGCAGCTCGGCGCGGGCAAGAAGAGCGTCGTCTTCCGCGTGCAGCTCCGCTCGACGGAGGGGACGCTCACCAGCGAACAGGCCGACGCGGTGGTCGAGCGGATCGTCGCCGCGCTGCGGTCCGAACTCGGCGGCGAGCTGCGTTCGTGATTCCGTTGGGGATCATGGATGAACACGGATCGACACGGATGGGACATCTGTGTTCATCCGAGTTATCCGTGGTCCTTATTTCCTGCTGCACACCGAATAGCCCCGACCAAGCTTGGTCGGGGCTAGCGCCATGAGCGACGAAGTAGCGAGCAAGTCACTCGACTCGTGTCTTCGACTCACCGTCGAGAGAAGACCCAAGCAACCTGCCATTGCAACGATCGAGCAGGAGAAACTCGACTGGCTGTACTGGGATGATTTCGAGATCGAACTTGAGATCGAGACTTCGAACGAGGGAACAAGACGCTTCTGCGGCGTGGATATCGCAGTGACGGCTCGAGTCGACCTCTGGCAAGTCCTGAATGACTTGGCATGCCGACGGCTTAGAGTGTGTCATGGACGACCCGCAGAAGCATCGCCCCGAGACTTAGACGAGTTCGTCGCCGCCATTGTGAACACAGCCGGAACCTCCGGCGCTGCGCGACGAGTCATGCTCACCGAGCAAAACCTCGCGTCCAACGCGATCGCCCTCAGCGAGGCCTCCGGCGGCGACGGCGACGAGTTGCGGCTGTCGTTCTTGCCGATGTCGCACCTCTACGCCCGCACGTGCGACCTCTACACGTGGATCGTCCGCGGGTCGCGGCTGGTGCTTGCCGAGAGCCCGAAGACCGTCTTCCGCGACGCGAAGATCGTCCGGCCGACCGTCATCAACGGCGTCCCCTACTTCTTCCAGAAGGCGATCGACCTGGCCGAGGCGAGCGGCGAATCGCTGCGGTCGCTCTTGGGGGGCGAGATCAAACGCTGCTACTGCGGCGGGGCGCCGCTCGCTCCCAGCGTGGAGCAGCGGTTCTTCGACGAGGGCGTGCCGCTCTACACCGGCTACGGGCTGACCGAGGCGTCGCCCGTCGTCACCGTGAACACGCCCGACTCGCACAAGCTCGGCACGGTCGGCCGGCCGCTGCCCGGCGTGACGGTCCGCATCGCCGACGACGGCGAGGTCTTGGTCCAAGGACCGAACGTGATGCTCGGCTACTGGAACGACCCGGAGGCGACCGCCGAAGCGCTGCGCGACGGCTGGCTCCACACCGGCGACCTCGGCGAGCTCGACAACGAGGGCTTTCTGACGATCACCGGTCGCAAGAAAGAGCTGATCGCCCTGTCGACCGGCAAGAAGGTGGCGCCGTCGCGTGTCGAGGCGCTGCTGTGCGCGTCGCCCTGGATCGAGCAGGCGTGCGTCCTCGGCGAGGGCGAGAAAGGCCTGCGGGCGCTCGTCGTGCCGAACCCCGACCGGCTCCGCGCCGAAGTGAAGCGCCGCCGGCTCTGGGTCTGGTCGAAGCGCGCCGCGCTGCGTCACCCCGCGATCCGCGAGGTGTACCAGCGCGAGATCGACGAGCGCCTGGCCGACGCGTCGCCGGAAGAACGCCCGCACGGGTTTACGCTCGTCGGCCGCGGCTTCAGCCAAAACCGCGGCGAGATGACCGCGAAGCTGAGCCTCCGCCGCGAAGCGATTGCTCGGAGCTTTGAGCGCGAGCTGTCACGGATCTGATCAACGGACGCAATCCGACGAGCGGATCGCGAATAGCCCCGACCAAGCTTGGTCGGGGCTGCGGGCCGTTGGGCGCTCTCAAGCCGCCTCGGGACGCTCACCGAAAAGGCCCAGGATCTCGAGCGCCGCGAACGCGTGCGCGATCCGCTCTTCCGGCTTGCGTTGGGCCCGGCGCCAACGGCTGCGGGCGCGACGGACGTAGTGCGTCCGCGCCTCGTCGAGCAACCGACGGTCAACCGCTTGGTGCGCCTGCCGCCAGGCGACGGCCGCCGCGTCCAGCGCGCCGGGGTCGCCGGCCAGCGCGGCGAAGACCGTGTCGTCCAGCCGCTCGATCTCCTCGAGCGACCGCTCGGGGATCGCCCTGCCGTCGGCCGACACCACGTGGCAGACCGCTCCGGCCGGCGAGCCGGGGTGAGCCGTGTGGATCAGGTTGTCGGACGTGGCGACCATGGGACTCTTCGGATCGACTCGCGCGGGGGTTGCGTAAGGAACAATCGACTGACGCGGGCGTCGGTCTTTGGGTTCGCGCCGCGACGCCTTGTCGCGGGGTCAGCCCGCCATCTTGTCGCCGCGGAGCTTGGCGAACCGCTCCGTGACGCTCGCCTCGTCGTCGCCGTGCGGCTCCTCGGCCGGCGACGCCGACGATTCGGCGACTTCGTCGCTCGGGTCGATCTCGGCGGCTTGCAGCTCGGCGGCTAAGGCGTTGTTCGCCGCCTGGGCCTTGAGCAGCTCCTCGGTCCGCTGCTGCAGCGCTTCCTCGAGGTCGTGGACCCGAGTCCGCGCGAGCTTCAGGTCGTGCTCGAGCCGGCGGCGGTGGGCGTCCGCCTCGTGGCGGCGTTGCTCCTCGGCCGACTCGCCCTCGGCGATCCGGCCGATCTGCTCCTCGAGCTGGCGGAGGGTCTCTTCGACGCCGTTGATCAGCTCGTGCTGCGACTCGCTCCAATGCGCGTCGGCGGCCGCGGCGTCGGCGATGACGGCCCGCAACGGCTCGTGCGTCGCGGAATCGGTCGACGTGTCACTCATCCTGTCCTCACCCGCGGCGCCACAACGGCCCCCACCGGCCGCGCATCTGAAGCCTAGGTCACACGGGGAACTCGCGCCCTAGCATTCGCCACGCCTGCGGCGCATCGGGCGGACGCCTGTGCCGATAAGAACGACTGGAAGGCCGCGGGAGCGCTACGCCTTCATCGCTTCCATGAAGCGGTCGAACAGGTAATGGCTGTCGTGCGGCCCGGCGGACGCCTCCGGGTGGTATTGCACGCTGAACGCCGGGGCGTCGGAGTCCTTCAGGCCCGCGTGGCGGACGCCCTCGACCGACCCGTCGTTGAGGCTCACGTGCGTCACCTCGAGCTCGCGGGGCAGCGACTCCTGATCGACGGCGAAGCCGTGGTTCTGGCAGGTGATCTCGACCTTCTCGGTCTCCAGGTCCTGGACCGGGTGGTTCGAGCCGCGGTGGCCGAACTTCATCTTGAAGGTCTTCGCCCCGCAGGCCAGCGACAGCAACTGATGGCCCAGGCAGATGCCGAAGATCGGCTTCTTGCCCACAAGGTCGGCGATCGTCTTCGACGCGTACTCGACCGGCTCCGGGTCGCCCGGGCCGTTGGACAGGAACACGCCGTCCGGCTTGAGGGCGAGCACCTCCTCGGCCGTCGTCTTGCCCGGCACGACGGTGACCTTGCAGCCCCGCCCGGCGAAGTGTCGCGGGATGTTCCACTTCATACCGAAGTCGAACGCGACGACGTGCGGCCCGTCACCGGTCGCCTCGACGCCGGTCTCGTCGATCCGCGTCCAGCAACTGAGCGGCTCGTTCCACGCCCGGGAGTCGGCGGGCGTCACCTCGCTCACGAGGTCGCGGCCGACCAGGCCGGGGCTCCCCTTCGCCTTCTTGACGAGGCTCGCGTCGTCCTGGTCGATCGTCGAGAGCACGCCACGCATCGCGCCCTGCGAGCGCAAGCGCCGCACCAGCGCCCGTGTGTCGATCCCTTCGATCGCCACGACGCCGTGGCTGCGGAGGTAGTCGCTCAGCCGCAGGTCGCTGCGGAAGTTGCTCGCCAGGCGGCTGTGTTCGCGTACGACGAAACCGGCGACCTGCGGACGGCCGCTCTCGTTGTCTTCGCTGTTCGCCCCGTAGTTGCCGATCTGCGGGTAGGTCATCGTGACGATCTGACCGCGGTAGCTGGGGTCGGTAAGGACCTCCTGGTAACCGGTCATCGACGTGTTGAAGCAGACCTCGCCGTCGACCTCGCCTTCGGCGCCGATCGAGATGCCGGAGAAGACCGTGCCGTCTTCCAGGGCGAGTTTGGCGGGCTGTTCGGCGAAGCGGGGCATGGGCGGACGCGGATCGGGGCGAGGGGAGCGGGCCGCTGGCCCGCTAGACACCCACATTCTCGCCGTCGAGCCGCCCGGGTTCAACGGGCTCGTCGATCGGCTCGGCGGGCGACGCTCGCCCAACCGCCAGCCGTCCCACCAAGCCGGCGAGAAGCATCGGCACGACGGGCAAGTCGGGCGACGTCGCCACGACGAACAGCGCCCGCTGGAGCGTGTAGCGGGCGTCGCCGCCGTCTCGCAGCCAGGCGATCGAGGCGAACGTCTCGAGGCCGACGAGTCCGACCGCCCCGAGGGTGAACGCCAGTCTCGCCAGCCACGCCCCACGCCGCGGCCCTGCTGCCCGACAGGCGAGCGCGACCGTTGGCACAACGAGCACCAGCCAAAACGCGTGATAGCCAGCCAGAGCCTGCGGCTCGGCTGCGCAGCCCCAGGGGCCGCAGATGTCGTGACCGAGCTCCCAGTTGAGCCGGTGCAGGTGCAGCGAGCCGTACAGAGCCGCCATCCAAAGGACGACGCCAACGGCGAGAGCGGCGGCCCGGCCGGCGTGAGGCATCCGCCCACTATCCCTGCCGGGAGGCCGGGTGTCTGTAGGCCGTCTCACCCCGTCCCGTCAGGGAGTGAGCGACCAGTTCTTCTGCACCGCGAGCCACGCCAGCACCAACATCGCCACGCCGATGGCGATCCAGGCCAAGCAGGCCAGCGCCTCGGCCTCGATCCGTGCGACCACCGTCATGTAGCTGGTGATGAACAGGCCGATCGCGATCAGGCTGGCATAAACCGTGTGGCGGATGACGACACCCGCCAGCGTCGCCGAGGCGAAGCCGAGCAGGATCACCGCGATCGGTCCTGCAAGCAGGCCAAACGCCTCGCTCTGCGAGCCGGCGACCAACGCTAGGCCCGTGACCGCTGGCAAGCCGAACGCGACGAACACTAGGCCCAAGCCGCTGACCAACGCGGCGGCGTACCACGTACTGGGATGGATCGGTCGCGAACGCCAGAAGGTCTCCAGACTTGGCGTCAAGTCGTTTGCTCCAACCCCCAATCCGGCGACGAACGCGACGAAGCAACCGAACACCGTAAACCAAGTCGCCGCTGCCGAGCCGATATACATCGGTGAGAACGCGCGAAGCGTGTATTGGCTGTGATCGTCGTTGTAGTGCTGCAACGTCACCGTCAACACGAGCAAGACGATCGCGGCAGCGAAGCCTGCCCCCACCAGCGGCTGGTTCTGTCGAGCCTGTTTCCATAGGAGAGACCGCAGGGGGCTTGGTTGGGGCGCTCCGAGCCAAGACGGCCCGCTGGCGGCCCGCTCGACTAGGCTCGGCGAGCGGTCACCGCCGCCTTCTACCCGTCCGTATCGCGCGACGTACCAAAGCGCCAGCGGCACGTGCGCGATCAAGAAGGGCGTCAGCACCGAGAGCGGGCTCAGCCCCGCGCCTTGAAGCCCGACGACGCCCACGGGCAGCATCGCTGACAGGGGGCGTAGGTTCAGGCTAGACGCATGAGCCGAGTCCTGGTTGCCGGCAAGACTGGCTGCCAACGCGATGGCTCCCCAGATCCCTGCGATTACACCAAGCGAGATTGCTGCGGCACGGACTTCGCTCTCAGTGTTGACGCCCAGGGCGGCGACCCAGACAACCAGACTCGTCGAAACAAGCAACGACGACATGACAGTGTCGGTGGTCCAGTGTCCAGTCGAGATGATCGGGCCGACCCCCTTGGAGAGCGTCCGCAGGCCCAGTTCCGCGTCGGGGCCGCCCCACCAACCAACGAAAGAAGCCGCGGCAGCGCTGGCGCCAACGGCGGCCGTCATCGACAGTCCGACAACCGCGATCGCGAAGAGGAGTTTAAATGTGGCGTATGCGCTCAGAGGATAGGGCTGTCTCTGCAGCATCGACAGCGTGCCGTGGGATCGCTCCCCTGCGGCCGCCCCGGTTGCGACAAAGACCGACGCAAGCGGAATCACGCCCATGTACGTCAACATGAGCGGCAAAAGGTAGCGACCCTCCTTGAGGCCCTCTCCCGGCCAAAGCGACCAAAGCTGAATGCCCGCAGCGATCGCCACCAGAGACATCAGCTTCCAACGGTGCTCTCGCCACTCCTTCCAGGCGATGCTCGCCAAGGGGCTGTTCATGCGGGCGCTGCCTCCACCGCGGGCGCCGCGGCCGGCGCCTCGGGGCGGCCGACGACGTAAGCCTCGAAGATCTCGTCGAGGCTCAGGTCCACCACGCTCGGCTCGACGCCCTCCCGGCGAAGCCGGTCGACGACCACCTCGGCGCCGGCCACCGTGACGGCGACCTCGTCCCCGTCGCGGCGCGTGTCGAGCACGCGGCCGAAGCCCTGCACGACCGGCAGCAACTCGGGTCGGACGACGACCCGTTTGACGTCAGACCGCAGCGCCTCCGTCTCGGCGTGTCGCACGAGGCGGCCGCCGTCGAGGATGGCGACCTCGTCGGCGACCTGCTCCACCTCGTCCAACAGGTGCGAGCTGTAGAACACCGCCCGGCCTTCGCCCTGCAGGTGGGTGATCAGGTCGCGGTTGAACTGCTTGCGGAGGATCGGGTCGAGCCCGAGCGCCGGGTCGTCGAGGATCACCACCTCCGGCCGGTGCGCGAGCGCGAGCACCAACCCGAGCCGCACCGTTTGGCCTTTCGAGAGGTGCTTGATCTTCGTCCGCAGCGGCAGGTCGAACTCGTCCAGGTACCGGCGGGCCAGGTCGTGGTCCCAGTTCGTGTAAAACGGCGCGACGAAGCGGACGATCTCGTCCACCCGCATCCAGCCGTACATCGTCTGGTCTTCGGCGAGGTAACCGACGCGGTCGCGCAGCGCGAGCGGTTCGGTCGTCGGGTCGAGCCCGTCGACCCGCAGCCGCCCCTCGTCCGGCGTCAGCAGGCCGAGCAGCATGCGGATCGTTGTGGTCTTCCCTTCGCCGTTGCGTCCCAAGAAGGCAAACGTCCGCCCGCGTTCGACGCGCAACGACACGTCGCGCAACACGAGCTTCTTGCCAAACGACTTGGCGACGCCCTCGATCTCGATCGCGGGTCCCTCGTGTGGCGAGGCGATCATGACGCGGCCCCCTGGGGTGATTCGGCGCTTTCGACGTCGATCGCGTCGAGCGCTTCGGCGAGCAGTTGGTGCAGCTCGTCGCGCGACAAGCCGAGACCGATCCCTTGGCGGCCGAGCTGCCGCAGCTCCTCCAGCAAACGGGCCCGATGGCTCGCCGCGGCGCGGCGGCCGGCGTTTGGGGCGACGAAGGTCCCCTGCCCGTGCCGCCGCTCCAGCAGGCCTTCGCCCGTCAGCCGCTCGTAGACCCGGAGCACCGTGTTCTGGTTGACCGCCAGCTCGCGGGCCAGTTCGCGGACCGAAGGCACCCGGTCGCCCGGCTTGAGCTTGCCCGAAGCGCAGTACGAAGCGACCTGCTCGGCGATCTGCCGAGAGATCGGCACGGACGATCCTTTCTCGATTCGCAACAACATGCCGTCGGCCTAAGTGATTACACAAGTGTAACAGTAGTCACCTGCGCGTCAAGCGGCTTCGGCGTAGACGGGAATGCGTCCGAGTCGCCCTGGGCGGCGGACTGCCTCATCCGAGAACAGCCTTCTCGGTATCTGCCCAAGCAGAGAGCTGGCGGGTAGCGCGACGCGCGTTTGGCTCGCAGAGGAGCCGAGAAGAGAGTGGGGCCCTGGGGCGTCCCG